AAAAGGTGGTGGAATTCATTAAGAAAGTCTCTAAGGAATGTCTATTTCGGATGAACGCTGATGAAATGAGGGGGACTGCCACTGATGAAACTGCCAAATTCGATCAAATTTTCTGTGACCTCATGGAAGGTTAGTGGCTTTCGACATATTCCAAACCATTCATCCGTAGACCCTTTGTTCACATCATTGCTGGAACTTAAGGGCTCAGGATCCTCTGTCTCCAGCAGAACATAATGGCTCAGTATTAACCAACCTACGGAATGTGCTGGCACATCATCCAAGAAACCGCAAGTGCTTCCTATTCTTGGAACCTGATGTACAACTAGTTTCCAAACATATTCACTTCCGCATCCCCTCCATTCTTTGTTGTCGCAAGCTTTCCATTTCTGCTTGGTTTTTGTGTTCATGCCGTGCGGACGGATAGCCATTTGCCATGCAGACTTTCACGGCCACTGGATGTGTGACGAACAGCCCACCTAGTAAAACGCAGTAGAAGCGTGACCTCCCATGCTAGAGAATTCAAACTTTTCGTGGGCATTGTGTGCAAACGCGGCACTAAAAATCATAAAAGCAAAGGGCGTTAAGCAATGGCCCATTGTAAGTTCGGGATTGGGTGCAAATTCCGTGAGAGAATCATCCCAATGGGCTATCTCCATCTATTCCCTTCGGGAAGAACGGGATGAACGGGATAAACATGTCGTGGTACCCCAAGTTGTCGAAAAAGCGATGTCCCCCACTGATATACATGTCTAGATATATTACAATATTATGTTATTGTCCAATAAAACCCATAGTGTGAATACATATGCATGTAGTTGTTGCATGTTGCAGTTATATGGTCGTATCAGGATGGGTTGTTGTTCAATATCAGCTGTGCTATTTCCGGGATATAACTAAATGTTATACATGTGCTATCAATTGTTTAGTGCACATATAATCATACACTTCAAAACCAAACATGTGATATTGTTCACATAATGCATTATGCGTATACATAGCTTTATAGCTATGTACTGGATATTACTCAATATGCACTGCGATGTTGTATAGAATACAATGTATACATAGATTGCATATAACTATATTTCCCCATATCTGGGTCCCATATTGATCCCCACCTAGAAACTAAATATGTTAATTCTATTATCTTTAAGTATTCCATAAAGACTTAAGGGTTGGCCAAACATGGACCAAGGTATGGATTGCGGCTCTGCTATTTATCAGTCAAAAGGCCATGTTTGATGGTTTAAGTTTAAATTCCCATGTTGCTTGGGTAAATGCCTATGTTTGATCCAGAAGCATTTGAATCATATGATATCCCAGTTGCATACCAATTACAGTCAAAAAAATATCATATCCCCATAAAATCCTATGGTTTTTCGGGATGAAATCCCACGATCTCCCCCTCCCTTAGAAGCTAGGCATATCTCAGCCATGTCCCATGCTGGGATGACCAGATGGTATACCCAGCCCCATCTATCCTGTTGTGATTAAATACCCCAGTCATCCAACGTCTTTCGCGACTCTTGACATCTCTTGACCATGGCATTAATCATGAAAATGCATATTAATGCCATCCAAAAGAAGAATCACAGATGTTTAGCTCAAAACTCCCCAAAAAAAATCTCCATTTAGCCGTTGAGTTTCTGATTCGCCAACAAAAGGTCGCTGGATTTCCACCAGAGGCCCACACCCTGCAGTAGTCACCGTGGTTTGATTTGATGCCACGGTGAGGCAATTGATGCCCCCATGCCTGTGGCTGCCCGGGGTGACCTGTTGGGACCTGTTAATCTGTTGACAAAAATGAGGATTGATCGATTTAGGCAACAAAAAAGTGGGGTTTCATCAAGAGTCTTGGACCATCAAAGGTTTGATGGTCTTTCACCTATCAAAGAATTGAAGTCTAGCCACAAATGAGGATTTAGCTCATGGAAGGTGCCTTTGATCAACATGTCTTTGAACTTTTATGTAGCCAACTCAAATATGTTTTTGTTAGACAACAAAAAATGGTGTTTAATCAACACAATCAGGCTTTGAGCAACCAACGTCTGCTTTTGAGCAACATTAGAGTAACCATGTACGCACAACATCGACATCGTGAAAATAAACACAAAGAGGGTTTAGTCAACAATGGAAGCCACCAAGCAGTACAATCCAGTAATAAGTCATTCCCCACCAATCATGCCTCTCCCGATGTGACGTGAGCCGCTTCTCGGCCCGGAGGTCCTTGGGAGAATTTTTTACAGTCATGACGTGATCAGTTGGCTTAGTCTGACAAGGCAGTACTATGCCATAGTTCGCTAAGTTGGTAACTAAACCCCACTAGTTCCATGAAAAAATCTACCAGAAACATCCACAAGCCTAGTTGTAAACCAACAATTAGCAAACTATGGGACACCACCTTCTAACTGACATTGGAGGTGGCAAACTGGGCACCGAAATTCAGCCATGGTGACACCGAGAAGCTGGGGTAGGAGTTGATTCCGCACACGTCTCAATGCGACAGTCATCGATATGTTCTCTCCAGAAATGGGCTATGTGTATACAGTGTACAGATGTGTACAGTACTCCAAGAATTGAGACATTGATTTTTAGGAAAACATGTTTTTTCATACTACATATACGAGCTATCATGAAAACTACTGGATATTGGGGCATCATGGAATCCAGGATCAATACAGCAGAAATCCAAGAGGCCCAGGTCAGTAGGCATCGATCGCGGCTCACCGAGATGGCGTATTGATCGTTGGGGAACAGCCTCAGCCCCACGGAAGCTGTGGAACCGGTGGAACGCAAAAACCGTGAAATGAGCAGAATGATTGGTTGCTTCAATCTGAACCCAAGAACTTGTTGGATCTTGTTGGATCTTTGAATATCTTGGATATATCATATGATATTACTTTAGCCACGGTCCCACTGACACTGAATCCATGTTCACCTGACACCTCGAATTTAAACCTTTTCTCTTCAAATTCTTGCCATACTTCTGAATGACTTAGATCTCGTTTCCGTTCATTTCATGGCCAAACTCCAACATCATTATTATGTCTAATGTTTGGCTGGATATAAAAATCTAGTTCCCCACTGTTACAACAACAACAACAACAACAACAACAACCCAACTTAAAGTTTTCATTTAAAAAAAACTCTGTTGTCACCTGTGATTCCACGGTGCTTTTGTGGGGCGCCCGACTTCACGTCGTTCACCCGGGCGTTGTGCTCCTTCAGGGTGGAGACCATCTCCCGCCTCGGCATGGCCGGGTAACCAATGGGATTCATTATGGTTAATGGATGTTAATGGTCACTAATGGTGATGGATGTACTATATATATGATATATATGATATATATGATATATATAATATAATATATGATATATAATATATAATATATAATATATAATATATAATATATACGTATATATATATATATCCATAAATGGATCAGAACTGGGGGTACCCTGTTTTAGGAAACCCGCATATGCTGAATGGTCACTGGTAATGGTGCTAAAAATTTCCGGTGAATGGTGATGAAGCCATATATTGTAACTTAATGGTAGTTTTCATAGTGGTGATGAAGAACTGTCATGTTGATGGGGATGTTCATGTTGGGGATTCATGGCGGCAACTGATTTGATGACTTGGGGATGGTGACGGCATCAAGAGTTGTTGTTTTTTGGTGCAACCCACAAGATTGAAATTGAGTTGCAAAAAGAAGCTTGAAACGCCGGATTGAAGTGTGCATGGAGGGTGGATAGCATTGGGATATCAACAGCAAGGTTGAGAATCATATGCACTGTGGCAGCGACTGGATTGGTGTTATATATATATACATATATAATCATAAAATGTAAGTACATAGGGAAAGAACATAATTTTTGGCCAACAACTAGCAGCAGTGGCCACTACCAATTCAACTGAGAAGGCATGATTGCAAACATAATATGTCTGATATACAGCGCAATATTCTATATATATATATATGTACTCGTATCAGCATGAATAATAAGCGCCACGCAAGACTTTGTGTGGAAACATGTCCAAGATTGTCCAAGCATATCTACTCTTTTGGATCCGCTCATCCGCATTTTTTGATGCGCGGCGAGAGGCTCGCTACAACGGGTTGCACAGCACTGGGTTTCCAGCGCAGGGATTGAGAAAAGGGCCATAGGTCGTACAGTTGTACCGTCAAATCAACCTTCTCACGTCTTGAATGGTTGTACTGTCTATATAATCCCTCAATTTACGAGCAACAATTCCACTAGTTAAGGCATGTGAAGGGTGATTTGGGTTGGGCTAAATAGTGACATACATACCCTTTCTTAGGAACTAGTCCATGTATGTATAGATATACAGATATATATATATATATATATATACACATGTGTCAGATTCATATCTACTCTATCCACATGGGTGGCCTTAATGTCTACAAAGCTTGCAAGCTTGCTTTCAGACGGCTGTAGATCGCTGGCAAGTTGGATTTCCAGAGTGGGCCCCTTGGAAAAATGGTGACCCAATCAATGGTAGATAGACGAAGATTTCGAGATGTTTGGGAAACGAGTACCCTCTGGTAATGACTAACATAGCGAACTGGAAAGATCCACCATTTTTAATGGGAAAATCCACTATTTTTATGGTCATTTTCAATAGCTACGTTAAATTACCAGAGGGTAATTATCTTCTTGCTGATGTATCTCGGTTCCTACGTTTTTGGACGGCAACCATCACTACTTTGTCTTTTTTTTCAGCGCGGTAGTATCCCTGAGCTGCTCCGTTGTGCATCTGGCCACAACCTCCACTTCACGCAGCCATATTGGCTACATGATTTTCAAGCGGCAGGTTTTCTGGTTGTATTCCCCAGGATGGCCTTTCTACCTGTCAAATCATTGGGGTATATTTGCGAATGCTCAAAAAGAAAATGAACAAATATCCCTTTGAGGGATTTGGTCAAATAGCGAAAAATGACCAAAAAATCTGCAAAATTGGTGGATTTTCATATTTTTTTTTGACCATCGTGGAATCTAGTCCTCCTCCAACTCTTCCTCTCCGTTGCTATCACCTCAGGAACTCCGCACGCCGGGATGGCTGTGGTTTTGGGACGATCAATGGAAGGCCTGTGGTCAACCGTGGCAAATGGGAAGCAAGCATTTGTGTGTGTGAAATTCATCAATGGACATGTACCTGTACATCTATAATATATTAATATTATATATATATATATTACATAATGCATATACAGTACCATATACAACTATGCATATATATATATATATACTCTTTCCATCTCTTTCCAATGCCAGGTTGGATTGCCACAGGCTTTTTAAGGCTCAGAAATTGTTTTTTTTTCAATGGACCCAATCTGTGGAGTAAAACATGTTGAGTATGTCTGACCCATGCCTAGTTAAGAACGGGTCGAATTTCAAAAACAGGCAAGTTAATGACCCCCTATAATCGCCGATTATTGTTGGAAAAAAATCGTAAATAAACTGTTCCATTTAGAATTCTGGTTCACCAAGCTCGCCAATCGGGAACCCATCAAGTTGTACCCCGAATTACCCTTCAACAAATCAACATTGATGTGACAACCTATGGCTTCCCACACGAAACTATCTACTTAAATCTGCTGGGTTTCCATCTATCATCATCTATCTTTGTCTATTCTTTGTCTCTAAATGGAGTAGCCCCAGATCATCCCAGATCCATCCAAATCCCAAATCTATCGATAGAAATGCCATCATTTTCCTAAATTTGCCCCAAATCCATTGAGGTCGTTTCGGAAAGCCAGGCGGCGACCAAAGATGTAGACCTCCAAAAGGTCGGGGCGAAACTCGAGCCATTGAAATGGATGCTTTTTGGGGCTTAAATTCTTTGGGGAAATTCCCGTGGGGCTTAAATTCTTTTGGGCCATTGAAATGGATGTTTTTTTCTGTGTTTCTTCTCCGCGAGGTGAGGGTCTCCAGATCTATAGGCGTTCCGAGGTACCAATTTCCATGGCGATGGTAGCGATGGTTGGCAAACCAAGTAGAGTTGCCCATATCCCAGTGATAGGTAGATCCCATATATCGAGTTTTCTGTCGATTCCACACCAATGTAAGGTCCGGAAGATCGAAAGATTGGTGCAGCAGTCACTGGGATTTTTGGCCCACTCATGTAAATATATATATATATATATATATGGGGGGTTCCATAGTCATGGGGGTAGCCCCAAAGCTGGATGGTTTACAATGGAAAACCTATCTATAAATGGATGATGACTTGGGGTACCCCTATTTCAGAAATCCTCCACCTAGAAAAATATATATAACATCATGTAAACCACATAAATTATCATAAACTCCTGCGGCTGTGGAATCTCAACATCTCACCAATCGGACGCCTTGGCACCTTTCGCCAATTCTTCGCTATCCTGGAATGGAAATCTGGGACAAAAAACTGTCGAATCATGATGAAAATGTTCGCATGCAGGTAAAATCTATTTTTATACACATATATATATATACATGTTTTATATTGTATTATATCAGGTGTATATAGACAGATAAGTGGATATAAACGGGATTTATTGGGTTTATCTTGGTTTATCATGGCTTATGTATAATGGGAAACCATCAAATTCCGAAAACGACATCAATATTGGCATGTTCGTCGCTTTTTTTGGGGATGACTATGGATGACTTGGATGTGAATCCCACGAATTGAAAGTGGAGAACACCTTACATAACTACATAACTGTGTATATCATCCAATATGTATACATACACATATATATACATATATATATATATATAATTTCATATAATTTTATAATGTTATATATCAGTGGCTATAATCATTTCACCTTGGTTCTGAACCACTTGATCCAAAGTCGCTCCTGTTTGGAAAAGCGCTCGTGAAATCCACGGGTTCTTCGATGTGCATAGCCTGTGGTGCCAATGTCTCCATGCATGTTTTACTATGGGGTTTAAAGTACACCAAATTGATGAAACCTCATGGCTTGGTCGTTTTGGGTCTCAAACCTCAGGCTGGTCTATGTGGCTGACCTGCACCTCCCGATCTGGGTTCGGGATCCCATTCTGGCGGTAGCGCTGAAATGGGAAGTTTGTTTCATGGACAAATATGGTTTTGCCTGTTTTTTGCAACCCAACATCGAAGAGTTTCTTTCCCAAAAAGATCAACAAGCGCAGGTCCTAAGTTTTCCCAATTCTTTACCCATACATCTATAAGTTACATACAGTATTACATACATATGCAGAGCATAGATTGGTTCCCATGTGCTTTAAACGTTTAAACTGAAAAAACAGCTAGAGCATCAGTGGGAGGCGATCAGATAATCTTCACTAACAATGGGAACCTGGGTCGTGAAAAACCCAAATGATCCATTTTGAGTATGTGAAATCATGCTGAAACCATGGTGAAAGCATGGTAAAACCATGCTGAAACCATGCTGAAAGCATGTTGAAACCCCATTCTAACCACGTCTTTGTTCACTTATTTCACTTTGTTCCTGTGTCTTCGGTCTCATCACGTTCTCAATGTGAGCGCACCTGGCCACGCCGCCAAGGAAAAGGGCACCACACCTGTGATGGAAACGATGAGCAGTGGCTGCAATCTACCCCAATTGGTATGATTAGTTTGGAAATTATATGTTCCTTTTATGATATATAATATTATATATATATATATCATATACAGTGTATATATATATACACATTATATAAAGGCATGACACTGGATTTTGAACAGTAGTCGTACGAATACGTCGAATCTATATAAGGTTTATAGGAACTATCTGGGCTATGTCAATAATTCCGCAACCTGAAAAGTTCCGCCAGTGGGTTACCCCAGTCCAAGTCCTATAATTCCAGTGACGCCGCGGCGTGAGGTCGTTATGATTTAGCCAAAACTACAAGAACTATCAGATGTCATAGATGTCATAATCAACTGATGTAAATCATCTGGAGATAATAAATTCATATAAATTCACCATGCATTTCGTTGTTAGCAATAAGCTGTTGCCACAGTGTTTAAGGAATCCCATTGGATCATCCAAAGCATCGCAGGACCATTTGACGATCATCCCCTAAGAGAATCTCAGAAGATCGTCAAAGAGGGACCTAGGATCTCAAAAGGTCTTGATTCTTGATACAATCACCCTATAGCCAGTTATATCTGATTATGTAGTTCTAATTATGTATATATACAAATATATATGTTGGTTTTTGCATACCAGTTTCAACCACTTGTACATAAATTCAAATGGTATGAATGCTGCACGATGCTGTACTCATGTCCAACGGGGAGTTCTGCCAAAAGCTGGTGGAAACAACACTGATTTGCCCATCAAAAGGAGATCTTTAAGCCCTAACCAACATAACTAGGTGAGAGGTAGACGAGCAAAAATAGGAAGGTGGACAAAACTGGAGACAAAACTGGTAACAAGAAAAGCAGTGCTGCCTATTTTCGTGAAAATCAGTTTTTGCTTCAACATTTTCGGGGATCAAGTAATTAGTGGCTTGAACTGCATGGTCAACAAAAAAAAGATGGCTTCAACATGCTTCAACTAGAGATTGGTTTCCTCCAATAGTAATATATTCTAATAGAATCTAATAGAGATAATGGAATAATGGATAACCATAGTAACTACAAAATAGTACAAATATATAATGGATACCAATAGCCTACAGATCCGGCACCAGATCCGGCACCAGAGTTGGCACCTTGCAAGTGCAACGCTCCATCCGTGGCCGCCTGGCGCCGTTTCAAGGTGAACTGGGGTTTTATGGCCTATGACAACTGGAAAGAAAAAATGACCATATGGGGATTTTCTAACAACTAATAAACAAATTTAAACAACTGGAGCAACTACAATCTCAAAGAATCTCAAACCAGATGTCGTGATGATGACAGCAACTATTAACCATTGCGATTCCATTCTTTGAGATTTCACCAGGTCAGAAAAAGCTCAGGACATCCAATGATAAGTCTGAGTCATCAACAACCACTATTTTCAGGATCAATCCTTCAACGGACTGCTGGAACTTTGTTTGGGATACCCCCCGGCAAAAAAAAAACGGCGGAGTCCTCATTTCAAGTATAGAAATAACACATAAACTAATATGTGTATGTATAGATCATAGATGTATCACTCTAGCATGTGTGTATGTGTATATATACATATGTAAATATGTATATATAATTACATATATATATATAATTATATATATAATTATATATATATAATTGCATGTATATATTTAATTACATATATATATAATTACATATATATATATGGGCCAATAATCATTTGCCAATGAAAACTTGGGTCATTTTGGGGTGGTTCGGCAATCCTGACCTTACTCTCTGGTGACGTCGTGGTTGTACATTGCTTGTATGTGTCTATCTAAGTAATTATCTATTTAACATAGATCTGTACATCTATATAACTATATAATGTATATCATATATATATATATATACACTGCATAGTTGAATAGATATAATGTATATATATATATATATATAATGATATAATATGATATATGTGCAACAATGTACATATGATGGCATACGAGTACATCACGCATCAAAAACAGCGCTTGCGCACAGCACCTTGGCCAGTTGAACGATCTTCCAGCTCTTGTAGGGCTCACCCTGCCTGGGGGCGAACGGTGATACGGTGATACCCAGAGTTTCCCCAGGTCACCGTTGTGGTCATCCCTGTCAGGGACTCGACTTGACAAGTCACAGCTATGGTCATCCAAAAAAAACTGACCCCATCAGCCATGACTTTGTATAACGACACACAATGGCTGATATTTCACTTTCAAATGGCTGATGGGTTCATTTGTTTTTTTGGATGATATCTGGGAAAATCAGAATCTGGGATTCTCCACTTCCAAAAATCAACATCAGAATGTGGCTGTGGTAATAGCTGTGGGTCATAACCACCGACCGTCACATGGGTACAGGGGTCATCATCAATGGGTAGCAACCGAAGCTGAACTACGCCGCCAGCAAAGAAGACCGGATAAGCCTACAATACCCTACTTGTATCTACATGTTCAGCATTTCTGTATAATGCAGAGCGATTAAGAGAAAGATTTGATAAGGCTAGTGACGTGGAGTCGGAGATGAGAGTGATATCAAAAAGTTGGCAGAGATAAGTTTGAAAGAGACAGGAAAATCAGAACCACAAGCGTGGTAGAGGTCTTTGTGTGTGTGTGTTTAGAAGAGATAAATCTTACAAACTTAAGTATAGGTCTGATGGACATTGGTAAGATGGTAATCCGTTTGATAGAGATGATAAGTTCGACGGAGGCAGGTTTGATACAGACCACTGTTTACTGTATAGAGTTCTACAGATAGGTTGGACGGAGATTGGTTTCCTAGGGACAGCTTTGTTGGTAGAGAGGTAAGTTTCATAGATGTGCTCTTGATAGGGTTACATAAGTTCGAGAGAACTAAGATAGGTTTGCTAGATGCTAGATCACAGGATAGCTTTGTGTCATCAGACATGGAGGTTTCCCAAGTCATGGGGGTATCCCGAAAACCATGACTTAGTCTTTTTCAACCCATGGTGACGACTGGGGATCCATGACTTGAGAAACCCATAACATATATATATATATATATATATATAGAGAGAGATATGTACAGTAATATGTATATATATATATATAGAATATAATATTATAAAACATATATAATATATAATATATAAAATATAATATATAATATATAACATATACCATATAAAATAATAAATATGACATATAATGTATAATATATATGTAATGTATATATATATATATATATCCGTATATGTAAATATTGTATACGTTTCCATCCTTTCCCTCGAAAAGTTCCGCCATTGACCTGGGTGCCACGCTTCATGGCCACATGTACCAGGCCCTGCTCGTCCAAACAGCGTAGCGCCGAGGCGAAGAAGGAGCTCAGCAACTTGCCTCGTCCCCAAGAGATCGACCGGTCAACCGACATCGCTAAGCCATGGCCATGACCTTCGTTGTATGGAAAAATGGCTGATTTTCCCATAGTTCTGCTAGTTTCACCAAAGGGTAAGCAAAAAGTCGCACTAAATTGATGAAATAGATGGGTACAGGATGGGGCCCCCAAGATCGCGTTCAGTTGGCTTATGTTTGTGGCTGAATTAACTCTGGTTTATGGTAGATATAACGAACTAGACAACTATGGTATTCATGGGGGTTATAAACCAACTGAACGCTATCGACTGGGGGGGGCCATCCTGTATAGTGAAGAACGGGATTTCCCGAAAGAATTATGGCCATCTTCCCGCTGATCGAGGGTAGACTGGCTATCATTGGGATGTATTTAAATGTATTTAAGGGATAGAATTGTGATGATTAATTGGGATAGTTTTTTTTAAAATATATATCATTGATGAATATATTAATAGATTTTGGGATAGTTCATCAAATTATATATACTTGATGATTTCTTGGTATATATATATACACATGTATAAATTTTCAATTTTCCACGAAGAAAAAAACGTGAATGATCTACACATCAAAATTATGAAGGGTTATATTCTATGATTATATATTACAACTACTTGAGAAACCTGGAATCCAAGATCATTCCCCTACTGCCGCCGACATCATGAGGTGCGTTTGGGTGCCAAAATCAGTACTATGTAAACCAAACAGTTTTGCATATGGGGCCTCAAGACAAGGCCAAAAACCAGCAAACGTGCTGCGAGGAATTGAATATATACCAGTTTGAAACCCTGGTGAACACTTCTATGGCAAGCTACCTGGGCAAATCTTTATTCTATATAAATCTTTATAATTCACACCTGGAATAAGCATTTCCGAAGATGATTCCCCTACCATCAAATACGGTGGGGTCGATGTCATTATTAACCAAATGTAGGACATATGTTCCTACATTTACATCCAAAATCAGGATGGTAGTGTTTGGCAACTAAAAGCACTCAATTTGAGGATATCCAATCGACGAAGAAAAGGTGATAAAACACACAGATGTGCCACGTCAAATGTTGCAAAATCATGAGGCTCCACTCCGTTTATCAGAAAGGTTTCCTGTGGTTTCCTCATGTTTAATAATTACCCCCAATTTTTCGAGAAGTCACTGCTCCGTTTGGGGAACCATCGGACGTGTGGTTTCACATCATCCAAGTGGCGGTGCTGCTCATTGTTCTTCTCAACATCTTTCTCCCCAGCACCCAGATGAGGGAAATTCCAAGAAATGATGCGAAAGGCATCCCGGAATTCTCTCCTCAGTAACTGTCAGTTCGCCAAGGTCCCAATGGACCTCTGATTTACTCAAGATATTCTGAATTAGTGTAATTTTGAAGGAAAATCAGAAGAAAACCATGGTTTTGACCATCCAAAAACTTAGGGGGTTCCTGCCGTTCTTCCGCTCTTGAACGGCAAAGGCCTCAAAATCAGTGGATGTGCATGAAACTATCACATGAAAAGTGCCGGTTCTGCCAAGCTACTGAAAATTGATTGAGATTCGCTGATGAACCATCTTCCCACATTGGTATTCCATACACCCAAGCACAACATATATATATATATATTATATATATTATACATATGTATATATATATATATATTATAGATTATATACATATCATATCATAATAACATATCATTATATCTCATACACGTTCCTCTCCAACGGATGTCCAACACACGACCTGCAACCGCCGGTGGTGCCGAGCATCACTTTGTGAAGCTTGGTCGCATCCACGGTCAGCAGAGTAGTGCCACCCATCTCCTCAACTTTCCCTCGCATTTCCAGTGCATCTGGATATTTCCTGGGGAAAATGATGGAAAATGATGGAAAATGATGGAAAATCTGGGCCGAGTTGTACTTAAGACCAGAAATTCTGGAAAATTTGGGTGAATGTCCCACTTCCTAAGCATCATTTGTGACGACTGCATCAAGCCATGCAGGCTTCGCCCTCTCGATTTTCCCACCCTTCCAGGCATCCCATTTGAACCGTTGGGAAAATCGAACCCATACCCCAAAATCTGCTCCCATTCGGAATCACTTGTAAATGTCGGATAAAAACAACGAACAAACATCTTTGAAACTACAATCTAGAGTTACCCTTCATAGATGATTTTCCCAGCTGTAAACCTCCATTGATAAGGGATTTTCTATTGCCACGTTTGATTACCGGGAAAGTTTTCAATGTGCTTTCAGCTGCCTTGCTATGAAGACTTTTGCACCTATTCCCAGATCCTTGGCTCCCCCAACATCTATCGTCAGCAACCATCTTCAACCAATGGATACGAAACAAAACATGGCAACCAGCACTTCGGCAATATATCCTCAGTTTGAAAGTTTGATATCAATGTTTTGCGAGTTTGCACCAACAAAAATATCCATGTCTGGTTGAAGCGGGTAGCCCCCATATCTGTGGGTAAATTTAGCTGTTTTGCTCATTGTTGCTGGTTATATCAGGGTTTCTCTGAGCATAGGCTACAGTATGGTACATCCTAAATCTCATGGTTTTAACCATCGTTTTTTCCCTATTAGAATTGCCTAATCTCTTCAGGGTGAAACCCCCGATTTTCAGACACGCCGTCTTTGATTGCGGTCGGTGATGTATCCATTAAATAATCCCATTAAATCCTCATTAGACCTTCGGTAAACCATCATAAAATCCCGAAAAAAACCATGAAAAGAACCGAACTTTGTTCAGCTGTCGAGTCTCCGTTTCAGGGTTGCTTCACCATCGAAGCCAGTTGCATATATACCTTCACCTCAACCGCCACACAAGGATCATTTGGGATGGGTGGTACATAGACCCTGCCAGGGGTTGGAAGATGAGTTTCCAGCAAATTGCTGGAATATGTTAATTTACCAGAGGCTATATTTTATGGTCATACGGCCTCTAAGTTTTTGTAACCATCCCAATGGATTGTAATAATTGATCCGATATTAGGTTTCTTCTTTTCTAATCACGAAACTTGCTTCGAAATACCATAGAGTCTCAATGGACTCTTCTGGAATCCGCTTTGGAATGAGTCGATATGAGTCATTCCAATGCTGTGAACATTACCCAGAATTTACACATTTCATTCACACCGATTTCAAGGTTGTGAGAAGAGAAATGACTCATATAGTAGACACCAGATTACACACTGCTCATCAGAAAGCTTTTTTTCAGAATACCTTCCAAAAAGTCAAACGTTAAAGTGCGAACGAGATGATGAACTGTCGGACCTGATCCCCGCACTTCACAAAGGGCACGAGCGAAACTGAAATTGCCTCGAGAGGGACGTGATTCCAGGGGTGATCCTGGTCGTTTTCAGGGTTAGTTTATCTTTGTTTAATGGTTTATGGATGTTTATGGTATCAAAATGTATGAAACCATATTAAACCAACATGTTAAACTATAGACTAACCATGAAAAGGATTGAAAAGGAGTAAGCCATCATATTTCCATCATACAAGGGAGTAGATCAACACAATTACCTGAACCATTGATCACGCCATGATAGAAATGAACAGAAATTGACATGACCAGTGGCCTACCTCAAATGATCTACTCAGGTGAGGGTGCAGCGAAGAAACAACAGAGAGTTGGCTTTTTCGCAACAACTTTTTTGGCCATGGCTATATCCTGAATTTCGAAGCTTGGTATGATATTCCCGCATTGGTAGCGGTTCAAGTATTTTTCACCACCTCAGCCTTTGGTTTACCCAGTTAGATGCTTGAGGAAGCTACTGATTTCCATTGTTGTGAGAGAACAATTCAGGACCCGTAGAACCACCATGAACTAAGGTGGGTCTTCGTGATAGTTCATTGTCTGCTTGAAGTCCCTGACTGATTCTGGTGGTGGTGAAACCCAGAGTTCTATCTACAATCACTTTGTAGTGAAAATTAACTCTCCAACGTTATTGGTACTTGGATTGGTCCTCTTGTTAGTCATTCTGCCAGCACTGTCGCCTGCTTCTGTTTCCGAATGCTTGCAGGAAAACTCCCTATTTTCACTCACTTACTAACAGATATTAACCTACTAACAGACAACAGTCCAGGTGGTCGATTGTTCATCCCCCCTACAGGTTACATCCAGATTCTCTTCGATGTTGAGCCTCGGTTTCCCATGGCGAAAAACCTCCAGTCTAAAATCTGGATGTGACTTGGAGTTGACGAACATAAAACAACATAATGGGATTATAATGGGATAACCCAATGTTTTTCAATTTGGGTGGCTTCCAGTGGTCTCCCACCCTTTTCGATTCAGAAAAAAGGCACCTTCGCCCACCAGCAGCACTCGATGGGCGCCTTTCACTTCGTACAGTGCCCGGTGCTTCCGCATCTGCTGCAGATGGAGACGCGCTTCCTGGGGTGACACCAGAGATGATGCCCTAGGGGCCCTGGTCATTCCATGCGAAACCAAACATCATGGGTATTGACATGGAGGTTTCCTGAGTCATAGGGCTACCCCCAGGTGGCCCAGTCATCATCCATTGATGGAATTTCCATGAAATAATCCATCCAAAGTTCGCTTGGGGATCCGCCATGACTATGGGTATCTCAACTCCCGAATAGACTGATGACAATCCCCCTAAAGATGGGACAGGCCTATGGGAACCACTGATATTGGGGGGATGAAGCTCTATGAATCCCAGCCAAAGGTGCACTGGTAGATCTGTGGTGCATTTACTGGCGAAGAGATAAACCATAGGATGTTGGGAATCCCCCCATTTTTACCAACCAAAAATGGTACACCATGTTCCACTCCAAAAATTGGGTTTACCTCAACATGGAAACCATGTTAACTGGCCACATGGAATCCATGGTATCTGTTTCACTGGCCACAAATTCGGTTGCTTTCCCCGGCTGATTTGTGATTTAAGCAGCATAAAAGATGTTTAAGATCGATGTTCAAAAGATCCAAATTTTTACGCTTCAAAATCTGACGGTCGTAGATGAGAAGTGACCACTTGTTTCAACAATTTCGTCTTCCGTTCCTCTTGACCCGGTGGTTGGTTGAGATCTGGGTTCCAGTATATATTGAGAAAGAAACAGACTAATCCTCATATCAATGGGAATTTCAGGATCCTAAATTGGAGGTACCCACCATATATAATGCCTATATGAGGCCTATGTAAGGGAATATCCTGAAATTCCCATTGATCATAGAACCATCCAGTTTTTCACCCCAGGTCCCAACTATCAACCACCAATGGTCTTGGGAAATGCTGATTTGGGCATGGCTGATTTGTTACTTGAAAAATACTAGTAGGATGGTTTCCTCAACAATAACTGTGATTCGACCAGCAACAAATGAATTTATACCTCCGAAGATTGGATGATATCATGCCGAGAAACATCAATTCTGTGGGTCAATTGGTCCAACAATAATTGGTACCCCGTCTTTGAAAAATACCAATGATGGCGCTGCACATATCACGCCGAAAGCATCAAATTCAAATATTGTAGTTATGAGATATTCTGAGTTGGAAGACTTACAGAAATGCAAGCCAGCACAGTGTAACGCAACGCAGTACTAAATACAGTGTCTTTTGGTATAGCATGATGTACTATGCATTTCGTTTTTCTGCGGTGCCAATTGTATAATCAAAAACATCCCACCGAGGTGATCCAAGGGTTCATGAAACTAGTCTTTTGATGTTTGTACTTTCTTGTCTTTTAACCCAGCGCCAAACACATGTGCAACATTGTTTTCAATGATTTTGGAATGACGCCCGATTTGGAATCTCTTTTTTGTTATTTGAACAGTGTTCTTTTAGCCATAAGAAGCCCTTTGGAATGTCATGTGGTTCTGGGAAATCTCTAGCATGGCATCAACTGCGCTAGTCATGAATGTTATGGCCCCACCCCTGGCCACCTCGCCCCCTATGTATAAAGATATGTATATTTAAAATTTACCCTCTGGTAAACTAACATAACTATGGAAAATCACCATTTACAGTATAGTAAATTGTCCCATGAAAAATTGTGATTTCCCATAGGTATCTTAGTTTACCAGATGGTATATTATACACACTATAGTCACTATAAATATCTTCGTGAAAGCGAACAAAAAGGCTCGCCGCCACCGCGGCAAAAACCCTACGGCAAAAACCTGTGGTTTTGTACTCCTGTACCACCTTGGTCAACTGGTGGATTTTCCATGGCGATTTCTTTCTAGTTGGTGGTTGAGCCACCCTTCTGAAAAATGATGGAGTTCGTCAGATTACATCATCATCCCAACTATTGGGGAAAATAATCCAGTCATGTTCCAGTCACCACCAACCAGTCTTGTTCTGTTTTTCTCCGAACTCTTCGCTGAATCCCCGAATCATCGAATCCCCATGGTGAGATCCGGTGGAAATTCGGTGAAATCCCCCCATTTTTGGGGTGGAAAAAAACGCCGCCGTCGGTCGCCCATTTTCGGTGGTGCCTTCTTCGCCAACTTCTTCTCCTTCTGCGACTGCGGTGCTGGGAGATTTTTTGCCGGCGCAACTTTGGGCGCCACCGCTGCTGCCTGCAGGTCGAAAGGCTGGAGATTTTTAAGGCCCCAAAACCATGGGCAACATAAAATAACTAAGTGTGGAGAGCTCTTCACTGTTTTTGATGAAATGGAAGTTTCAAGTTGTTTTTGTTTGTGCTGCTATATACCCTGAGAACAAAAGCGAAAATTGGTTGGTTCCAAGTGGAATATTGACTCCAAAAATGTAGCGGGAGAATATCATAGAATATCAGTTTTCTTCTTGATGGCTATTTCTGGGTCCCCGTTAAAGTTCCCGCACGCAAACAGGGTCAAAATAGAAAAAACATGGTCAGGGCAACATTTTGACATATTTTCACATATTTTGACTAGTTCACCGCGATTCCAAATATATGTGCCATTTTTTTCGGGCCATTGCCATGAAAATTCTTCATTGCGTTCATAGGGCTTTCCAAATGGTGGTGGTTTCACTTGAAGTATCAAAATGATGGGCGCGGCGACGTCCCGGCGGGTCCCGGCAGATGTCAAGCCAGTCGGCCGTGGGATGTGCCATGACGTCATGGTGGGATGGTGTGGGATCTCACAGGTCATCTCATCGAAAACCGGTGGTGTATCCCCATGTGTTATCCATACGAAAAAACGATCAAAAAGTTTTTGGTCAAATCTCCAGGTTTTTGACCCGAAAAAATTCCGATCTCTGCTGAAGACCCATTTTGGGGCCCGCAAAAAATGTCGGAAACGTCCCCAATTCAAATGGGATGTCTGCAATGAAATCAAAGACTAACCCCGATTATCCCCCATTTCAATGCATGTTAATCCAAGCATGTTGGTATCGGTGAGAATCTGATATGTGGTACCCATATTTCGAAAAACTATAATAACTATAATATCATTAATAATATCCGGTTTTGTATTGATAATTGATGACACTGTAGTTAACCATTTCTGGTTTGAAGTTTGAACCCCTCTGAAAAATATGAAAGTCAGCTGGGGTCACTATTCCCAATATTAATGGAAAAATAATCCAAATCTTCAAATAACAGCCATGTTCCAAACCAAGCAGATTTCATCAGTCGTAAACGACTTGGGGATGGTTTATGAACGACCCAGGAAAGTCCTTGGGGATCACATCTTCATCTTCGCCTTCGCGGCCTTCGCGACATCGTCTTGACGCTGTTCTGCCTTCAGGGCCTGCAGGGCGCAGCTGAAGGCTCCATTGAAACAGAGCTATCATGGAGATGATGGATAGATATGGATAGATATGGATAGGTATCAATAACGATATAAAATCAAAGGTGATAGTTCATGCATTCTGCCGATGATTATGTGGATGTCTATAATGTTGTATAGCATAAATCATAAATTGTATATCATATACTATATATCATGTGCTGTGGATCGTGAACTATGCATTATGTAATACGTAACATGTGCTTTATATAACGTGTGTATATGCATCTATCATAGCCTTCATTCAGAACATAATGACATCTATAATTCTATAATCATATAGACCAAGAGAGGGACAGTTTGAGGAGTCAAATGACCTTTGTAACAGCAGGCATCGGCGGTGTGGCTTCAAACGAGTGAACGAAACAATCCTTGTGCTTGACCAGAATATGAACATGATCATATATGTGGAGATAATGTACACGTGTGAGTATACAAAAGTATAAAGATAAAGTATACTATACGTGTATGTATGATTCTGCATGTATATAGTATATATATATATGTGTGTGTGTGTGTCAACTGAAGGGTGTGCCCACATATGGTGAATATACGCCAAACGTCATCATCTGCCATGTCCCTTGCATCAACATGGTTGGGATCAAAAATGATGAGCCTGTCACATGGCTGGCCTTGCTACAATGTATTAGAAAATTTATTGGAATGTATACCATCTGGTTATGACTAACAGTTCGCCATGGAAAATCACCATGTTCAATAGGTAAACCATCTATTTCTATGGGCCATCTATTTTCCATGGCGAACTGTTAGTCATAACCAGAGAGTTAGTATGGTATGTGCATGTTTAGTATGGTATGATACTCCTCTAAGTGCTTCCAAGTTGACCCTTCACCAAAACCCAAGCGCCTTGATCTGCCATTTCCGCAGTCCAGCGTAGGGGTTGCGCTTCCTCGCTCCGCGCATTGCCAGGAAAACTCACCATGAATGAATGGCCTTGGAAACGGATAATAAGAAGTTGCTTTGGTTTCAGTAGCTATAGCTATGTAACATATGTATGTATACATATGTAACATATGTATACATATGTAATCATATGTATACAATGTATACATATGTAGGGTATGTCTCCAAAACTACGACACGGTTTTGGACCCAGAAATTGTGGCCAGTGCAAGTAAACCATTGACGGAAATCCTGGGAGGGTAATATGTCTCAGCCATTTTCCCATCCTGATGCTGTGCCCAAGGAATTGAAATGTCTCTTGTTTTTTGTAAAAGAGCAAGAAACCCATGCAATCATTGAATGTTGGTATGTGTCTGTCCGCTATCCTCGAGATTCCTCGAGGAGAGTCGCGCGAAGCCTTGTCCAATCTATCCCAGAGACCCCATCCGATGAGTCCACTTACCCTCTGGTCATGACTAACAGTTCGCCATGGTATAGATGGCCCATTGAAATAGATGGTTTACGGTTTACCCATTAAAAACGGGTGGATCTTTCCATGGCGAACTGTTAGTCATAACC